ATCGTGTCGCCGCTGCCACCGCCACGGCGACACCGAAAAATCCATGTCTGGTGGTGCCACCGTCACAGTGTCACCAAAAAATAAAAATCTGCAGCTACCGCTGCCATCGTGGTGGTGCCACCGTCACAGCGTCACCGGAAAATCTGCAGCCACCGCTGTCACCACAGTGGTGTCACTGCCACAATGTCACCGAAAAATCTGGAGCCACTGCTGTCACCATGGTGGTGCCACCATTGCGGTGTCACTGAAAAATCTGGAGCCACTGCTGTCACCATGGTGGTGTCACTGTCACAGTGTCACCAAAAAATTTGCAGCTACTGCTGCCACCATGGTGGTGCCACCGTCACGGTATCACTGAAAAATTTGTGGCTGCCGCTGCCACCATGGTGGTGTCACTGTCACAGTGTCACCGAAAAACCTGCGGCCACTGCTGCTGCCCCAGCAGTGCCACCGTCACAGTGTCACCGAAAAACCTGCGGCCACTGCTGCTGCCCCAGCAGTGCCACCGTCACAGTGTCACCGAAAAACCTGCGGCCAACCGCTGCTGCCACAGCGGTGCCACCGTCACAGTGTCACCGAAAAACCTGCGGCCACTGCTGCTGCCCCAGCAGTGCCACCGTCACAGTGTCACCGAAAAACCTGCGGCCGTACCTGGGGCCCGCCGATGACGAAGCGGCCACTGGGCTGGAGGTGGTAGATGGTGTCATCGTCCAGGTACTTGGCCGGCACCACGGCTTTGATGACCTTTTCCTTCAGCGCGTCCCTCATCTCGTCCAGACACACCTCCTCGTCGTGCTGCACTGAGATGACGATGGTGTGCACCCGGATGGGGATGACGGCGCCGCGGTCCTGCATGTACTGCACTGTCACCTGCCAGGGAAAACGCCGGGGCCGTCAGGGGACAGCTTCTGGGGACTCGGGAAGGGTTTTGGGGGATTTGGGAAGGGTTTTGGTGACGTTGTGAAATATTGCGGGGACTCAGGAAGGGTTTGGGGGACTCAAGAAGGGTTTGGGGACTCAAGAAGGGTTTGGGGAACTCGAGAAGGGTTTGGGGAACTCGAGAAGGGTTCTGGGGGAACCAGAGAAGCATTCTGAGGGGACCAGAGAAGGATTCTGGGGGGACCCGAGAAGGGTCTGGTGACTTGTGAAAGATTCTGGGGACTCAGGAAGGGTTTTGGGGACTCAGGAAGAATTTTGGGGACTTGGGAAGGGTTTTGGGGACCCCCCGGAGGTGCCGGGGTTCAGAGAGGTTTGTGGGGACCCTTCACCTGCGTCTTGGAGTCGGGGCGCAGCCAGGGCAGGGTGCCGTTGCGGCGCAGCTCGGCCAGTTTGGCGTTGAGCTTGTGGGCGAGGACGATGGTGAGGGGCATGCACTCCTCCGTCTCATCCGTGGCGTAGCCGAACATCAGGCCCTGAGGCGGGAGGAAGAGGACGGGGTGATGAAGCTGCGACTCACCCGGTTGAACGGCGGCGACGGCGGCTCATAGCGAGGACTCACCTGGTCGCCGGCGCCGATGTCCTCCTCGCTGCGGTCCAGGTGGACGCCCTGCGCGATGTCGGGCGACTGCTGCTCCAGGGCCACCAGCACGTTGCACGTCTTGTAGTCGAAACCTGGCGCAGAACGGACGCTGCGGTGACCCTGCTGTGCCAAATCCTGCACCGGTGGCGAGACGGAGGCACCACCGCATCCCCCGGCACCTACCTTTGGAGGAGTCGTCGTAACCGATGTGCTTGATGGTGTCCCGGACCACCTTCTGGTAGTCCACGGCGGCCCGCGAGGTGATCTCTCCGGCCAGAAGGATCATCCCCGTCTTGGCCACCGTTTCTGGAAGGGAGGAGATAATGTCAGCGCTGGTGTCACCCCCCCCCCCCAAGCC